AATTCTGAATTGTTGCCACTCTAAGGTTAGAGGGTCCAAACTAACATGTTATTTAACCCATAGGTGGAGGGAGAAGAAATGAATTCCTGCCTTTCTCAGGAGCATTTTCTGAGCTGATAACATTACACTACCTACCCATTTTGATGGATACTATCTGTTATAATTATTATTATTAGCTAACAATGCTTTGTCTAAGAATTTAGATAACCTAAGTCTTTTACTGTTGTGAAAGCAGAAATAAAGTATTTAATAAGGGTATTTATGCAAAGTGAGTGCAACAGTAGCTTAGAATTTGAACACCATGCACTTTCCACACTCCTTATCAACTGTAAACGAACAATCCCCTTAAGTGAATGTATAGCTGCTCTGAGGTTTCAAAAAAAAAAAATGCTAATGATGATGGGGGTGGAAAAAAGTTGACATTTCTGTGTCACTAGTTGTGTTCATATAGAGCAGCTGATCTTGTAGGAACTCTTAGCTTTCCTTCCTGTTTGTACTACCCTCCCCCCAACCCCGGCAACCAAGCATCAATCTTTTTAAGGCTTGTCCTCATCAACTGCTTTGTAATTTATAAAAGTAGTAGTGATGATTGCTGCTGCTGCTGGAACCCTTAGCTCTTGAGTTGCTCTGGTGTTAAGCTTAGCTATTTCTTCCTCACCACCGTCTGTCTTGTGGAATTCTTTACATGTGTCTGTCTCCCAGCATAATGCTGAGAAGTACTTTTAATGAACTTTTGTATTGGTCACTAGCTCTAGAAATGGGTTGGAGACTTGGGGGTGGGGCATTTTTTTTTTTTTTTTTTTGGAACAGCTAAAATTCAAAGATTCTACCCTCATTTATTTTAAAGGGGATATTGCTTTTAACTGGATCAAGATAATGTTTTGATTGAATTCCAGTCATTTAAAGAAATGAATATGTTGGTATCAAATTGCAAGAGATATCCCGAATTGTACTAAAAAAAAACAAAATGTCTTTTGGGATTAAATTCTCATTTCTGATGCAAAAAAAAATTCCCTCTCCCCCAGACTTCATAGTTTTTAGAAAAACAATTGATGAGCTAACAAACATGAATATATATGTATTTATTTATTGCCAACCCTAAATGGAGGAAAGTCTGTATAGTTACTCAACAAGAATTATATATAATATACTTAACTCTCCCGTTGAATTTGACGTATGAGGGTCAAGCAAATCAGTACCTAGGAAACTGACAGCCTGACACCAACACATGAGATTTGATTATAGTGGTGAAGGTTTTGTGCAGAACCATCCATACTTTTTGAAGGGCCAAATACAGAGACTTGGTGCCCTACATGCCACAGGGTCCCCAAACGACTCTCCACAGGTTTTGAATTCAGAGTTATCCTTCTCCTAGACCATTTGCTATCTAAGGCTATAGAACCCAGTCTGTCCTGCTATTTACTCATAGCAGGAGAGAGAAGAGGAGGATTCACACCTTTCCCAAGGGTATTAGCACGTAAGTGAATGTAATGGATTCGACTGAAATTTGAACTAGGCTCGCCGATTCCTCAATCCAAGCTGCTATCCATCCATTACTCCACTATGCCTCCTATATAATACTCTAAATTATATATATATATATATATATATATATATATATATATATATATGAGTGGCTGGTTCAAAATCTAATTTAGCATGAGTAGATAGCTTTGCTTATCTGGTTCACACTCATCTCCAATCTTTTGAACAGGAGTAAAGGTTTATGATCTGATTTAGAGCACATGGCATTTGCCCATTCACTGAAATGCAACTGGTTACTATGCCTATCTCTTTGAGGTCTAAGCAGCAACTGAACTAATTCTCACTAATGAGCTGTCATCTGACCTTCAAGGACCCTTAGGGTCTTTGTAAAATTTGTCTTGTAAAAAGGGAGATAATCACCTTCTGCATCCATACACTGATTTTAATAGTCAGTGTGATTTCAACCTAGATAAGTGTAAGAAATTCAACCATTATCAGTTCAAATAATTTGTCAGAATTTAAAACCAATATTCAAAATTTGTATTGATTTATTGAATCTGTTGTACCAATTTACAGGTACAACAATCTGGCATCTAATAATTAAAAGTAGTTTGTCTATGTAGAATGATACTGTTCATATGAGCAACTTTGTACTGGCCATTTGCAGCTCTCCCTTGTTGATCAGTTTGACATATTCTGAAATAATGAAAATTACCCAAAATGTCCAGGGATGGTTTATTGGTAAGTGGTCAGGTGTCAAAATTCTGTAGTGTCAGAATTATTGGTAACACCTTTTTTATCCTCACACTGTCTTTATCTCATCTCCTATCTCCCCTATTGCTTATAGTGGGAAAGGATTTCCTGCTAGTGAGTTCTAAAATCAAATTGTTTAAAACCAAACAAATTGCTCATTTGTGTGTATACAGATATGTTTATTTGCAATAAAAAAAAGTCCCCTCTATTTAACTTTTTAGGTCATTTTTCAAAATCTCAGTTCATTGATTAAATCCTCTTTCTATATGTACCCCTCCCTGCTTTTACAGATTTTTTTTCTCTTCTCTTTTTAGCACAAGGTTGATCAACATCTATACAGCTATTCCCCTAATCAATACTAGACCAGAATTCTCCATCCACCTTTATCTAAATGTGCTACTTATCTGGCTTTCCAAACTCTAATGGAACAGAAGCAACCAATTTTTAAAATTACTTTTCTTTCATTTCTTTTTTAACTTGGAGAAAGAAACCTGAAGATACACTTTCAATGATATCAACTGTTGAAACGAATTGTATATCTTTTTTTGTTTTTTATTACTTTTTCCTCCCTTATCAAAAATTTGCTGCTTTTTCCTGTTCTCCATACTTCATGTGGGTTTCTTTTGATAAAACCTAACAGGCTTACCCTTCCATTTATTTTATTTTCAAGTCAGGTATCTCTATAATTTTATTTTATTTTATTTTTTTTTTATTTATTTTATTTATTTGAGATAAAACATTTCTTCACAGCTGTGGCTCTAAGAAACTGCTAGTTTATATGAAGTTAATGAGATAACTTCGGTCTGCCAGGTTTATTTTTTAACATGACAAATATTGATAACACATGAATCTGCAGATATAATTTCTAAACAAAAGTAGATAGAATTGGTTACATAAAATTCTGGTCTTCCCAATGTATGACTATGACCAAAATTCCATCTCCGCTTTTGGAGATAAAAGAATACCCTCTGCTTCTTCATCAAAATTAAATAACTATTCATATAGACATAAGTTAATTACAGGATAGGTATTTACTCAGTTTAACCTAGTTTGGCCCAAGGTCACTGAGGATCAAACTCGCATTAATGTATTGGTAGATTAGCTAACTAATCATTACTTTATGGTAATACAATAAACCTATGACAATTTAAAGTAAGAAAGGTATGAAGAGTCATGATTGGGTAGATCCTGAAGGTATATGGCATTGAAATGGCACTTGTTATTGCATTTTCAATATGCTCATGCCTTTTGCACTTTAGAATTAAGTGGGGACATAATGTAAAATTACTTGAAAATGGCATTGTTTCAAAGCACTCTATTCTCATTTTTTTTATGGCAATTGCTTTAGATCAGCGGTTCTTAATCAAGGAGCCTGGTAAATTTTACAGGTGCCACAAACATTTTGGGATGGGCGTGGGCACAAGTTCAATGAAAGGGAGCCACAGGGCTGTAACCCTCTTGCTCTCTATATTTTAGTTCTAATAAACATAAATTATGTAATAAAATAAATTTTCAAGTGTCTTGTTACTAGTGTGCATTTATGCAAAATTAGTATGCACTTAGGTAAATCACTTTCACATAACAACCTTATCAGCTTAGGCAGTAGCTAGAAAAAATCTGTTACTCCCATAGTCATCCTTGACAATATCTAGTTCCATTTGTATTTAATTAATTGCCTTGTTTAATATAAAAGATTGACCATAGATCTTTGGAATTATTCCATTGGGAGCTGTAGGGAGATAAAATTTAATAACTTTCTTAAAATTCAATAATAAATACTCTATTTCTCTTTGTAAAATCCCCTGAACAAACAGACAGACAAGTTCTCTCTCTCTCTCTTTTCTCCCCCCGAATTTATTGATCTTACCTGCCAGTGATCTTTTGTCCTGTTTGTTTGCTTCAAGATTTTGAATCTTTCCTTGCGATTTAATTTTTAATACTAGCACATTTCTCGGTTATTGATTTAAAGTCTTTATTCTTTTGCTCTCTTTTTCCAAAGAGTAAATATTGAACCAAATAGCTGTAGCTATTTGCAACATAATTTCTTTTTAGATAGCCTCAGTGTATTTGAAATTCAAGCTCTTTGGTTAACTAGTGTAACATAAATGAGCTTGTGTTCCTCTGATGTCACTCATACAACACTGAATACTTCAGGCAAATGGCATCCTCCAGTCTGACCAATCAGCACATGACTTGCTATTGGTCAAACCACACTAAGCTGTAGAAAAGCCACCATTACAGAATATACACTTTTGGATAAATCTAAAGTGGAGAGGGCAGATTCATGCAATTTTTAAGGAAAAAAAATACTATTGCTCTGTGTCATGTATTGAGGTAAGGAACTTATTTTCCTTTGCATCAGATGCAAGCCACTCTGACTCGCTTGCTTCTATGTAATTGTTCACCACAACTAGTTATCAATATCTAGTAAGTTTAACTTCATATGACACAATGGAACATAGTAAAAGGATTGTGTAGCACCCATCCTTAAGAAAAAAAATAGTTGTTGGCCAGTTTTCAGCAAGTAAATTTATAAATTTGTATGAATTTTGGGGACAAAGTGGTCATTATTTAAAGTCTAATATCCTTATCTTCTACTTAAAGCAAAAAAAAACCCCCCAAAACAAAAGTAATTAAAAGGGACAAAAGGAAAAACCACATCTTAAATTGTTGGCAGTATGAAAATAGAAAGGAAAAATGTGAAAAGACAAAATTTCTATAAAATCTGCTACCCGGTTATTGCTCATCAGAACTTGAAGGCTTACAACCATACCACATTGAAACACTGATTCTTGTATGATCACTGAAGTTAAGCAACATCAAGCTTGGTGAGTACCTAGATAGGTGACTGCTTGGGAATATCTGATGCTGTAAGCTTGGAGGTGGTGTAATCAATAATGGCTTGGAATTGTTAATTGGAGAGCAGAGTTCCAATTCCAGTTAGGTTCGTTATATTCACTTATGTGCAAATACTCTTGAGAAAGCTATGAAGACACCTTTTCTCTCCCAACTATAGGTTAATTAGTAAGTCTTGTATCATTAAAACATCTCAACAACAAAAAAAAGAAAAAAAGTCTTACAATTAAAAAATATTTTCTTGCTTTAAATAACCTGTAATGGGTTAAGCTGTAGAAAACTAGTCAATCAACTCTTGAGAAAGGTATGAATCCACCTTTTCTTCCCCCAGCTATGGGTTAATTAGTAAGTCTTGTATTACTAAAACATTATCTCCAAAAAACAAAAAAAAATAAGGTCTTACTATCTAAAAATATTTTCTTGCTTTAAATAACCTGCAATGGGTTAAGCTGTAGAAAACAAATCGATCAAAACTCAAAGAAATTAAAATAATTTTTTTTCCTTTTTCAGTCAGTGTGCACAATATTTTCATTTCTTCATTCCTGATGAGTGAAGAGCGATAACTGGCATGTTCATTCTATAGGATTTCTTTATTTTTTTTCCTTTAAAGTTCACATTTTTTTGTATTGCCAACTGTTGTAGTTTTCTTCCCCCCCCCTTTTAATTATGCCTGTTTTTATTACCTTAATTAAATTGCATAGCTCTGATAAGATCTTCAATTCCTTTTCTTTATCACAAAGTTTCAGCTATTGTACCATCTGACCTTCTTTAGATGCTTCTGGATCCGGACAACCCTCAGTGAACTTTGAACTGAACCCTTTATTTAATCTACAGTGATAGGTTTTTTTTTGTTCCACTGTTCATATCCAGGGTGTCTTGTTCTCTTTTTAGCCCCCCCCCACTCATTTATTGCTCACTCTGTATATGCATTTCCTGCTATAGTTCAGTGATTAGCAAACTGGTCTCTGAGTAGTTCTTTTAGTGTAAGAAGATTGATCCTCATTGGGTGCTCCACTGTCTTAACCTTGTGTCAGACTAAGTTATGTGCAGCATGTGATACATGCTTAGGTGATCATGTATCTTTCGATACATGACTGACGAGGCAGATTTTTTCCTGCAGTAGGTTGCCATTTCTTTTTGTGGTAGATCATTTGCCATCCAAGGCTATAGAACCCAATCTGTCCTGCTATTTACCCATAGCTGGGGGGTAGAAGAGGAGGGTTCATACCTTTCCCAAGGGTATTAGCACATAAGTGAATGTAATGGATTCGACTGGAATTCAAACTTGGCTCTTTGATTCCTCAATCCAAGCTGTTATCCATTACTCCACCATGAAACTTAATAAATAACCGAATGGCCTTGGAGTTGTGTTCATCAAGTTTCTTTCAGATTATGATAACTTTAGTGAGTACAATTCTATGATAGCCTTGTGCCAGACTAAAGGAAGTTTAGTAATGCCTTTCTTTATCCTTTTTGACAATAAAGATGAGGACAACAGTCCAAACAATGTAAAACAGTGTAAATAATTTTTATGCTTTACTTCATCCTTTTGTTGCTTTCTGACATTTTTTATCAGTATATTCCAAGTTACATACCTTCTTTCATTAAAGTAAGTGTACAATCCTATGATGGCCTTGTGCCAGACTAATGGAAGTTGAGTAAACTAGTTGAAAGATTGGAAGATATAAATCTTATCATTTAGTGTCCCAAAAATCTTAGAAGTTTGATTTCAAACCCCCGTCCCCCAATCCGAACCAACACCAAAAAATGAATTTCTTAAGAAGGTGCCATACCAGTAGTGATATCCTTTTGTGCTGACCTCTAAAAATGTATGGTAGCTGCTTCTCAGCCCACTTGCCCTCTGGCAGACTTATAAAAATTTGTTGGTAATAGTATCTCGAGTTATTACATGAAAATGAATAATAATGAATGATTTGGGTGACAGAAATTCAGGGTGGTATACACTCCCCTCTTGGAAGATTGATGTAACAATTTTACTTGCATTTGACCGTCTGTTGAACTCTAAGCTTATTCTGTGTTTTTTCTATATGTTTTATAAATGGATGGATTATTTATGGATAAATTATACAATTCTATATTTTAGTATAAATGTATTTATTACAGACAAAAAATACATGTTGAACTTTTGTGCTGTATCCCTTCAGGACATAGCCTGTCCCTTGTAGCTTTTAATAAATTTTGTCTTTTTATTATTTCTTCCAAACCCTGTTATGCACTGTTTTCTTCTGTCCCTCTTTCCCTCAATCTGTTCTGTGAGTATCGGATTTTCTAAGCTTACCTTCCTCATTATGTGCCCTAGAAGTTTCAACTGCCTTTTGTTGATGTTAAGTATAAGTTTTTTTGTTTTGTTTTTTTTTCCCCATTTTCTCCAAAACCTTGTCATTTTGGTCCATGGTATCTTCAGCATATTTCTGTCGAAACATTTTTGTTACTTTAAGTCTCTTCTTCATCTTTGAGGAGATTGCCTAACATTCAGTGCCATACAGGAGAACAGAAGGTAATTGATTTAAATTGTTTTTTTTTTTTTTTTTTTTTTAATTATTTATTTTTTTTTTATAACTAGTCTATTCATATTTTCTGCATATTTAAAACTCAAGGCAACAAAACTGTGGTAATTGTCATAGTAAATGATATTACTGGTAATAGTTGCCCTCTTCCAAGACAATAAATTGTCTATACATCTGACAGCAAGGCCTCTGATCAGGAGGTTTTGAGGAGCGTGGAACCACCTCTTAATTGCTGGTGTTCCCAAGTTCATGCTGCACCAGGGTGGTAACACCTGTTAGGGTCCCAGCTATGGGCAAATAGTTAAACCCTACTATGAAAGTGTAAAAATAAGTTTTAATACCAGCAATGCATTTTTGGAAAATTTTTTTTCCAACAATACATATTGGTGGGGGTTAATGCTAGCAGTATATTTTTGAAGGAAAAAATTAACAGGAATATATTTGAAAAAAGAAAAAAATTGCCAGCAGTGCATTTTTTAAAAAAAATATATTACCAGCAATAAGATTTTTTTTATTGTTCTCATTATTACTTTGTGGTATGGGGTGACAAGACTTTCGGACCACACTAATTTTTTTTTTTTTTTTTTTATTTTTTTTTAAGTTCCATCAGTTCTAACTTTCATGGCAAAGACCTGCCATGCAGATTGTAGCAAACTATCTTTCCTTCATATTTCATTGGGGAAATTTAAATTTCACTCAAACAGCTTCTTCCCATGAACCGCTACTTTGTGTAACTGACTCCGCAGTATTTCCTCGGTCACTACAATCTTAACCTTTTCAAGTCTAGGGTTAACTGTTATCTTCCACCAATATCTGTATAAACTTTGCTTCTTGCCTCTTACTTGATAACTCTCTACCTTGAGTGGCTCTTGTGCTTTATACAGGATGAACATTATTATATATAAAAAAAAAATTAAATCATACCTGGTTTTGTTGGCCTAATGATTAAATGTATCAAATGCAAAATTCAAATTCTGACCAAAGCAGTTTGTATTCACTTCACGCTAATGTCATTGGGAAAGGCATGAATCCATCTCTCCTTTCTCCAGGTATAGATTAAACAAATTGAACTCTCTTGACTTGGTTGGCAACCAATCTAGGAGAAAACAAATTTTAAATTCAGAACCATGTATAAGGTCACAAAATTACTATCCACTCTATTTTCCAAAGAATATCATTAATAGCAATAATTAAAAGGAAAGCTATGGAGACCCACTTGTGTCCCAAAGATATTTGCCATTTCAAGAGAGCTTAGCACAAGGCCACAGAAGTGAATCTGTGGATATAGCATTATTAGTGAGATTAATTTGCAAGCTATTGGAACATAATATAATCATGTAAGTCCCTCATTAGAACCACTTGCTATCAATTGTCATGGTCTTGTAGGCAAGCTTGTTACCCATTACTACATGGTGAGGCAACTTTTCAGTCTTTATAGTAAATAATAGCAACTTTGATAAAAAGATAACTAGATAGGCTCTAAAAATAGACAATTTTGTGAACTTGCGTTGTCAAAGCAGACTTGTTATTCGTCCAATAACACACTGAGAACTTTGTAATCTGTTCAAATGTAATTTTTTTTATTAGCTATAGGGCAGCAAAGAGAAATGTTGAAAAAATGTATCATTTTTTTTTTTTTTCTGGTGGTACAAAAATGTGTCCTGTTAATCCGGCCAGCTTAAAAGAGGCTTCAAAAGGCAAAGTGAAATTATTGAATACAACGTACCTGAAAAGTGTACCTGATAAATAAGTAGCTGAGTAGTACATAGAAAGGAAATTTGGTTCAATTATGATATTCAGCCGAGTAATCAAGTGACGTAACTAGGGAGTATTGAACTTGCTACTCCTGGGGGTTTACAAATTCTGAAATTTGCCTCCATCTCACTCCCTCATATCAACTCAGGGACAGCAACTTGAAATATTGAAATGAATTTTCTGCTTTAAATTATTTTTGTTAGAACTTTTGCAAATTTCTAGCATTTATTCATATATAATTTCTCAGTATAAACAGAGCATTATTTATTTTTTTCAAATTCTAGTAAGATTCATTGCATTCACTTGCAAATGGAAAATGCTTTTGACAAACATTCAAAATTTAAGATTCACTGTCTCATGGTTATTTTTTTTAATTTTTTTACTCTTCATATATCTTGAATATTTGAAGATAATAACTCTCGGGGAAGCGAGGAAGGGAATTCCACAGATGGGAAATGCAAGATGGTAAGCTGCTGGAGTAGAAGAGATGGCTACATTTAACCATTTTGACAGTGAGAGGGTGGGACTGTATAGTGGAACGCACCTATTCTATAGTTAATAGACTCTCCTACCTATAATAAGTAGGAGTAGTAAGAGTAACGAGTGAGTCGCTCAAAAAAGTCGCTCAGTGAGTTGGTCAGTCAGTCGATGCCGGACGACCGTTAGTTGGATACTAAAGTATCAGCCACCACAATTAGATTACTGCGTTGTACCTATTATATCAAGTTCCTAACGT